AAAAAAAAAAAAAGTAAGACTCAAACTGAATATAAAGCAACTCCATGCCAAGAGTCAGAGTACACAACAAACTGTATTCTAAAAGAGAGGGTTTTGCTAAGATGGAGCCATGTTTTAACATATGAGGGAAACCTGGTGGCTTTTTCTAGTTTTCTGTGTTTGTGTATTATTTTGAAAATAAATTCCACAGTGGAATCCCACAAATGGAGAAATGAAAGCAAAATGCATATTTTATTCAATAAACCATAAAAATTACCTTTCTAATCAGGAAAAATTGTAAATTATGTTTTGTAAAAAACAAAACAAAACATAATCTTTGTTCTATTATCTAAAATAGAATATGGGGTAGCTAATTTATTCAATTTATTTTTTTGCTCAAAATGAATCGAATTTAGCAGAAACAAGGCCGAATGTGGTCTTTTATTCAATAAAAGTTTTAACCCCTGCTCCTGGGAAAGGGGAAGCAAAGAACAGCTGATTAAAACTTCCTTAAATCTGTGAATGCATGCCTTACAGCAGGGGTCAGAAACCCAAAATGTTCAAATAGCCATATTGGACCAACAAAAGACAAAAAACTGATCTGTCTGAAGTCGCAAAAATGTTAAAGTCTTATATAAGCCTCCTAATACACACTTATAAGGATCTAAGCATGTATTAGCCCACAATTAAAATGTCTAGTGAGGCTACATAAGCATCCATGAATAAATGTTTATTTTCCCTGCTGCGTATCCAGGAGAAGATGACACACCATGTGAATAATCTGCTGTACAATATTTGGTGCTTTAAGATTAACTTCCTTTACAGTATGAATGTATTATATTTTCTTGAATCATAGAAATACAATAAAGAAATCACAACTTTTGTGTTAGTTTTATTTTGAGGATTAAAAAAAATGGAATGTGCAAAATATGACTGACTACAGCACTGTGCTCCGCTATGGAGCAAATCTCCTTTGACAGAAATGTTTACATTTTTTGTTAACTTTTTATTATTATACAAGTTTTTACAGCTTTGGAAAACAAAGGAAGTTTTGATCTCCTAAACACTACATTAAAAGAAACAAACAACTCTTTTTTTTTTCATTTTTATACATTTTTGAAAAAGCTCCAATAAGGAGGGATGCTAAATTATCCATTTAAAGGGGAACACCATTTTTTTTACATTGGCCCCTTGATTTTAAGTTATTACATCATGTTCTACTCACCCATATTAGTTTTGTGTCATTTGGAGCTGTTCCAAAGATATTCAGTTTTGTAATCCAAGTAACGTCTTCCTATGGGCAACGAGTTGAAGGCACAAACTAAACTGTTCATAATTTATTCTTTATGGTACGACAGCATTCATAACATGTAGTCGAATCACTGTCCCCCAGACATCCACGGTTAGATTTTTTATATTTATATAAAACAAAGCAAAGTGTGTATAACGCGTATGACAGAGCCGTATTGAAATTATGTTTATCTCTACATCACATCTGATTAGAATTTTTGTTATTGAAATACACTGTTTATTTTATTATGCATTTGGATATATTTTGTGATTATGTTGTATCACTTAATTAGGCTTCTTTTAATGTCCTGTGTTTAGTTAAGGTCACATGCACAGTTTTGCTTTAGGGGTGCGCATGGCAGCTGTTTAGAATTTATAATAGAGCAGGATGAGGATCAACAGTTTTCTGACCGTTATGGTTATTTGTAAGTTCGGCAGTCACTACGGATTTATTAGATGTGATGAACCATCTCTTTCTTTTTTTTTGTAAACATTGAGTTTTGTAATAAACTGAAATAGATTTTTTTTGGATTGGTTTTGCTTCAAGTCAGAAACTTTATGTCCTGCAAAAGTGGTGAAGATCATTTTTATTGGCAGGAAAGAAATTTAGCCACTACGTAAACTTTGTTTCGGTGTTCCTACTCTGTCTGAGTAGCATCTGGCTAAAATGTTTCCACATGAAAATGCTTATTTTTATCATAGGCTGTCCTGCGAGCACATAGGACAGCCTTACATAAACATATCTGATTGACAATTAGGAGGACCACTTATTTAGATGATCCAACCAGAAAATAAAAGATCATCCTCTATACCTTTAAAATATTGCAAAATGTATGCCTGTCCAAAGCTTGCTCTGACATCTTGATCAACTCCTGCTAAAACCCCTCCTCTCATCTTCATACTTAGCACCAACCAACATTGATGGTATTTTTTAAAATTCGTCTGGGGAATAGTAGGTCTTTAAATCAGGGTGAGTTACACTTTAAATAAAAAATGTATCAATATATATTCAATGGCTTCTTTGTCAAGTTAAGCTAACTTCAGACTACTGTTGCTTACCTGTAAGTTTCTTTATGGACTTGCCTCCTCCTATTGAAATGATTTTGTCAAAATGTATTTACTTTGTTGTGCTGTCAGTTCTATTCAGGATTTTATTTTTATTTGTTTAATAACAATTTTACTTTAATTAATTATTTTTATTATTGTATATTAGTGATTAAACATTTGATTTTGATGTAATTGTGCATTCAGATAATTTTCCCAAGACTTTTTCTGTATTTGTCCCATTAGATTTCATTGCTGTATTTGATAGCTGATCACAGTATTCTATAAGTTATGAACATGTATTGAATAAGGGGAAGTACAATAGGATGGATTCAATATCAAAACAAAACTACCTGAATGGCGTTAAAAGTTCTGC